AAAATTATTAAATAAATTAAAATTAATATTAATTGATAAAAATTAATATTAATCAGGGTATAAGTGGAAAAAGTAGTAAAAAGCTTCTCATAAACTACTATCGATTAGCTTTTTAATAAGCTAGTTTATTAGTCAGCTTATGTCCATCCAAACATGAACTCTAAAAATAAGTTAGCTTATATGTTTGTCAAACAATGCCTAAGTCCCTGATAATTTTTTTGAATAGATAAACCATTGAGCTACTAAAGATGGTCACCTACATTTTTTTTTAACCTAAAAAGGTTATATGCAACCGACTAACAATGTTTTAAAGTAAAAAAAACATAAATAAGTTTTACCATTCTCAAATCCTTTGCACACAAAGACATCACATCACGCCCCCTGTTATTCCTTATCGCCCCATCGTTCTTTGTTCTCTTTTAGTACTATACTTTAGAATATATATAGCATAACTGTTAGATATTTCTTTGATTCATATATTTATGAACAAACTATATTTAAAAAATAAGTTGACTTTATTTATTTTGAAGAATATTAGGTTTTGGCCTACATCTTCAATGTGATCATATTTTAATTTCCAATGACTATTTGAATAGGAGAAGTTACATCATGACCTTTTATTTTATATATCATAAGGTATTTATACAAGAGTACAACTGAGCTACTAGAATCCTAGCCATGTTATACAAGGTATAAATATGGGATATCTACATGATATCATACAAAATATGTATTTTGATAGATAATTACCAGATATTGTGTGAGATAATTACCGAAAAACTACTATCTATTACTCCATTGGTAATTATCAAATTAACTATTATTTACTATTGGTGAATTTCAATTACCGGATGTCCAAGTGAAATACAGTAATCTTTGTCAACAATCTTAGATAATGAATCATAACCTTACACAAAGTATTTGAGTGACCTTTTCCTTTTCCTTTGTTGTATCCTGGTATATATGCCATTGGTAAGCGTTTATGCTCAATTGGTTCACGGTATTCACACATAACATCACATCAGGCCATATCGTGCAAACATGATATCCAAGAAATCGACTTTACTCTTATACAACACATAGGCTATAATGATTTGCATATCAATCGAGTGTTCATATAGACTGGTTAATACGAATATTGACTTAATTCATAGTCATAAAACAATCTACTCGACATCGCACTCAAAATAATACTTAAGCAACTTCCATAGACACGACCTTATCCAACAACTGATTAAATTATCAGCTAAATTTGTCAAACAAAACCGTAACTCCCTCGCCTTTCCAGTTCCTTCTAATGACATAATTAATCAACCTAAATTTTGATTTGAATAGATCTACTATAGTTTAATCCATGAGTTTATTTTCTTTCAAAGAAAATATCAATTGAATTTTCTTTATATATTCTTAAAAAGAAACCAAGACCAATGGCTATCAACCACTACCAATCTTATCCCCTTAGTTGAAAATTGGTAATTTATTTATAAGGTCAAAATAGATAGAACACTGATTGGTGGTTTTTAATTAAAGTGAACTTAAGAAATGTGGGTTCGAGTTTTGTAAGGCATTAAAGATTTTTTTGACTATTTTTCCGGGCTTTTAGGATTAGTCGAGGTGCACGTAAGTTGGACCTGTTCAAGTCGTGCAAGGCACTGTATTGAGCATTTTATCAGCGTAAGTGACTCTTAAAAAACTTGATTAAGTTTGTAATGAGTTTTGATGAGTCGTATTGAACCAAATGACTCTTAATGAATTGTAATAGATTTCAGGGGTGGTAACGAATTGTATAGGGTCTTGATTGGGTATCATGGGTGGTAACGAACTGTATTGGACATTGATTGATTGTCATGGGTGGTAGCGAATTGTATTGAGTCTTGATGGGTCGTAATAGATTTACTGACTGTTAAGTGACTCTTAATGAATTGTATTTGAACTTTTTATATGTTTAAGTGACTCTTAATGAACTATATATTTGTCTCAGATTAGCTACGGATTTTACCAAAATTTGTTTTGATTTTTTTAATATCGAATATAATTAAATCCATAGCAAATCCGTGATAAATTTAATATATTTGTCTCGGATTAGCTAATGATTTTATCAAAATTTGTTTTGATTTTGCAAAATGTAGAATTTAACTAAGTCCGTAGCAAATATGTGGCAAATGTAAATCTATTTGGCTCAAATTAGCTACAAATTTTATCAAGATTTTTTAAAATCGAATATAATTAGATACATAACAAATCCGTGACAAATGTATTTAGATTTTCCATGGGTTTGCTATGGATTTTATCAAGATTTGTTCTATTTTTTTAATATCAGATATAACTAGATCCGTTGCAATATTGTGGCAAATCTAAATATATTTATCTCAGATTAGCTATGAATTTTATCAAGATTTGTTCTGATCTTTTTAGTATCGAATATATGTAGCTCCGAAGCAAATTTAAATATATTTGTCTTGATTAGCTACGGATTTTATTAAGATTTGCTCTAATTTTTTAATATAGAATATAACTAGATCCGTAGCAAAACTGTGACAAATCTAAATATATTTGTCCCGGATTAGCTATGAATCTTATTAAGATTTGTTCTCATTTTTTTTAATATCAAATACAATTAGATCCATAGTAGATTCGTGGCAAATGTAGTTCTTTTAATTAGTTAGCAACGAATTTGCTATGGATCGTTAAGTTCTTTTTCATATATTTATTTAAAAAAATAAGTGTTTTCTTTCTCCGTCGCTAATCCGTAGCAACTATACACATTTTGTGACAGATTAGCGATATATCATACATTCGTCATAACAAATGTGAGTAAAAAGTAAAAAAAAAAATTGGTTTTGTAGTTAATTCGTCGCAGGTTAGTGACAGAGCAGTTCGTAGCAATTAATTGGCCGCTGATTCCCAGTTTCTAATAGTGTTATTGGTGTTGACTCGGTTTCTAAGCGATATGGATGTAACAATAACGACATTCTTAAAAAACTGAAAAGTTGTAATACGAAAACAATTTGACTTTTACACAAAAAGATGGTGGGTACATGTTAATTAGGCCCCACTTTGTAACATGGTCGATGAGGTTGATGTGCCAAGTAAAACAATTGGTGTGTACAAGTTGGGTGGTCGATGCAGGTTGATATGCCAAGTCAAACAATTGGTGTGTACGTACAAGTTGGTCACTTCCATTTCTCCAGCTAAGAGTCAAAGGAATCACCATCATCGTACAAGAAAACAAAATTAAGTCAAAATCCCTTTTAATCGAGCTTAAAGGATCAATCGGTTTATAATCAGTTTAGAACTGAAATTAATTGGACCCGTTGTGAAGGGACCTAATTAAAGAGGATTGATTAGGACCATTTCAGAAGTCAATGGTTTAAAATTCATAAAATTTGAGGAGTGTATATAAATATTTACTGTATATAAATATAGCGGGTGATAGATATTTGAGAAGTAAATAAGTGATCTTCTTCGTTTGGTCAATGTTTGCGGCTTTGACCGTGAAGAACTGGATAATTTCTTGCATAGGTATGCGGAAGATAGATGGTAGTTTTGTGATTTTTACACATATGCGGCAAACGGGTTGATATGTGATGCACATATGAATTATATGTTCATATGTGAACCCGTTAA